AGGTCCCCCCTGTCCACATCATCTTATTCAGAATAGGAGTGCTGATCTAGAATCAGGTCCCCCCTGTCCACATCATCTTATTCAGAATAGGAGTGCTGATCTAGAATCAGGTCCCCCATGTCCACATCATCTTATTCAGAATAGGAGTGCTGATCTAGAATCAGGTCCCCCCTGTCCACATCATCTTATTCAGAATAGGAGTGCTGATCTAGAATCAGGTCCCCCCCTGTCCACATCATCTTATTCAGAATAGGAGTGCTGATCTAGAATCAGGTCCCCCCTGTCCATATCATCTTATTCAGAATAGGAGTGCTGATCTAGAATCAGGTCCCCCCTGTCAGCATCATCTTATTCAGAATAGGAGTGCTGATCTAGAATCAGGTCCCCCCTGTCCACATCATCTTATTCAGAATAGGAGTGCTGATCTAGAAGCAGGTCCCCCCTGTCAGCATCATCTTATTCAGAATAGGAGTGCTGATCTAGAATCAGGTCCCCCCTGTCCATATCATCTTATTCAGAATAGGAGTGCTGATCTAGAATCAGGTCCCCCCTGTCCATATCATCTTATTCAGAATAGGAGTGCTGATCTAGAATCAGGTCCCCCCTGTCCACATCATCTTATTCGAATAGGAGTGCTGATCTAGAATCAGGTTCCCCCTGTCCACATCATCTTATTCAGAATAGGAGTGCTGATCTAGAATCAGGTCCCCCCTGTCCACATCATCTTATTAAGAATAGGAGTGCTGATCTAGAATCAGGTCCCCCCTGTCCATATCATCTTATTCAGAATAGGAGTGCTGATCTAGAATCAGGTCCCCCCTGTCCACATCATCTTATTCAGAATAGGAGTGCTGATCTAGAATCAGGTCCCCCCTGTCCACATCATCTTATTCAGAATAGGAGTGCTGATCTAGAATCAGGTCCCCCCTGTCCACATCATCTTATTCAGAATAGGAGTGCTGATCTAGAATCAGGTCCCCCCTGTCCACATCATCTTATTCAGAATAGGAGTGCTGATCTAGAATCAGGTCCCCCCCTGTCCACATCATCTTATTCAGAATAGGAGTGCTGATCTAGAATCAGGTTCCCCCTGTCCACATCATCTTATTCAGAATAGGAGTGCTGATCTAGAATCAGGTCCCCCCTGTCCACATCATCTTATTCAGAATAGGAGTGCTGATCTAGAATCAGGTCCCCCCTGTCCACATCATCTTATTCAGAATAGGAGTGCTGATCTAGAATCAGGTCCCCCCTGTCCACATCATCTTATTCAGAATAGGAGTGCTGATCTAGAATCAGGTCCCCTCCTGTCCACATCATCTTATTCAGAATAGGAGTGCTGATCTAGAATCAGGTCCCCCCTGTCAGCATCATCTTATTCAGAATAGGAGTGCTGATCTAGAATCAGGTCCCCCCTGTCCATATCATCTTATTCAGAATAGGAGTGCTGATCTAGAATCAGGTCCCCCCTGTCCACATCATCTTATTCAGAATAGGAGTGCTGATCTAGAATCAGGTCCCCCCTGTCCACATCATCTTATTCAGAATAGGAGTGCTGATCTAGAATCAGGTCCCCCCTGTCCACATCATCTTATTCAGAATAGGAGTGCTGATCTAGAATCAGGTCCCCCCTGTCCATATCATCTTATTCATTATTCATTCTCATTATCTTATTCATAGAATCCAACACTCAACCCCTCTGAGTGGGGGGTATCCCTTCTTTCTTTTCTTTCCAAAACACTTGCTTGCTGTTTCTTACCAACTCTCTCGCTATCTCTCTCAGAACCATCTTCTTGACCCGAACCAGTCAGGCTTCAAGACAGGTCACTTAACTGAGACTGCTCTCTGTGTCACGGAGGCTCTCCGCTCTGCCAAAGCTGACTCTCTCTCCTCTGTGTCACGGAGGCTCTCCGCTCTGCCAAAGCTGACTCTCTCTCCTCTGTGTCACGGAGGCTCTCCGCTCTGCCAAAGCTGACTCTCTCTCCTCTGTGTCACGGAGGCTCTCCGCTCTGCCAAAGCTGACTCTCTCTCCTCTGTGTCACGGAGGCTCTCTGCTCTGCCAAAGCTGACTCTCTCTCCTCTGTGTCACGGAGGCTCTCCGCTCTGCCAAAGCTGACTCTCTCTCCTCTGTGTCACGGAGGCTCTCCGCTCTGCCAAAGCTGACTCTCTCTCCTCTGTGTCACGGAGGCTCTCCGCTCTGCCAAAGCTGACTCTCTCTCCTCTGTGTCACGGAGGCTCTCCGCTCTGCCAAAGCTGACTCTCTCTCCTCTGTGTCACGGAGGCTCTCCGCTCTGCCAAAGCTGACTCTCTCTCCTCTGTGTCACGGAGGCTCTCCGCTCTGCCAAAGCTGACTCTCTCTCCTCTGTTCTCATTCTCCTGTTTACGGACATATTTATTCTCTCCCTTTCCCAGTCTGCTGTCTCCACTTGCTTCAAGATGTCCACCATTGTTCATGTACACAAGAAAGCAAAGGTAACTGAACTAAATTACTATTGCCCCGTTGCACTCACTTCTGTCATCATGAAGTGCTTTGAGAGGCTAGTTAAGGATCATATCACCCTAGACCCAATTCAATTTGCTTACCGCTCCAATAGATCCACAGACGATGCAATCGCCATCGCACTGCACACTGTCCTATCCCATCTGGACAAGAGGAATACCTACGTAAGAATGCTGTTCATTGACTACAGCTCAGCCTTCAACACCATAGTACCCTCCAAGCTCATCATTAAGCTTGGGGTCCTGGGTCTGAACCCCGCCCTGTGCAACTGGGTGCTGGACTTCCTGACGGGCCGCCCCCCAGGTGGTGAAGGTAGGAAACACCTCCACTTCGCTGATCCTCAACACTGGGGCCCCACAAGGGTGCGTGCTCAGCCCCCTCCTGTACTCCCTGTTCACCCATGACTGCGTGGCCACGCCATGCCTCCAACTCAATCATCAAGTTTGCAGGTCAGTACAGGTGCATCAAAGCTGGGACCAAGAGACTGAAAAACAGCTTCTATCTCAAGGCCATCAGACTGTTAAATAGCCATCACTAGCCGGCTACCACCCGGTTACTCAACCCTGCACTTTAGAGGCTGCTGCCCTATATACATAGACATGGAATCACTGGCCACTTTAATAATGGAACACTAGTCACTTTAATAATGTTTACATACTGCTTTACTCATCTCATAAGTATATACTGTATTCTATTCTACTGTATTTTGGTCAATGCCACTCCGACATTGCTCGTCCTATCATTGATATATTTCTTAATTCCATTCTTTTACTTTTAGATTTGTGTGTATTGTTGTGAATTGTTAGATATTACTGCACTGCTGCAGCTAGGAACACAAGCATTTCGCTACACCCGCAATAACGTCTGCTAAATATGTGTACGCGACCAATAACATTTTATTTGATTTAGATCAATTTTGATTTAGTGCCTTCGACACCATGAACGATCAGATCCTACTGTCCACCCTCTCAGGGTTGGTCTCAGGCTCTTCACACTCTTGGATTGCATCCTACCTCACAGGCCGCTCCTACCAGGTGTCGTGGAGAGAATATGCCTGCACTACGTACTCTCACTACTGGTGTCCCCCAGGGCTCGGTTCTAGGCCCTCTCCTCTTCTCTCTATACACCAAGTCACTGGGCTCCATCATATCCTCACATGGTCTCTCCAATCATTGCTATGCAGATGACACTCAACTACTTTTCTCCTTCCCCCCTTCTGACACCCAGGTGGTGACACACATCTCTGTGTGCCTGGCAGATATCTCAGCTTGGATGTCGTCCGACCACCTCAAGGTCAACCTCAACAAGACAGAGCTGCTCTTCCTCACAGGGAAGGCCTGCCCGCTCCAAGACCTCTCCATCACGGTCGACAAACTCCACAGTGTCCCCCACCCAGAGTGCAAAGAACCTTGGCGTGACCCTGGACAACACACTGTCGTTCTCTGCAAACATCAAAACATTGACTCGCTCCTGCAGGTTCATGCTCTACAACATCCATAGAGTACAACCTTTCCTCACACAGGAAGTGGTACAGGTCCTAATCCAGGCACTCGTCATCTCCTGTCTGGACTACTGCAACTCTCTGTTGGCTGGGCTCCCCCTTGTGCCATCAAACCCCTGCAACTTATTCAGATTGCAGCTGCCCGTCTGGTGTTCAACCTCCAAAGTTTTCCCATGTCACCCCGCTCCTCTGCCCAGTCCACTGGCTTCCAGTTGAAGCTCGCATCCACTACAAGACCATGGTGCTTACCTAGGGAACAGCAAGATGAACTGCCCCTCCCTACCTTCAGGCTATGCTCAAACCCTACACCCCAACCCCAGCACTCCATTCTGCCACTTCTGGTCTCTTGGCCCTCCCACCCCTACGGTAGGTCAGGTCCCGCTCAGCCCAGTCAAAGCTCTTCTCTGTCCTGGCACCCCAATAGTGGAATCAGCTTCCCCCTGATACTAGGACAGCAGAGTCCCTGCCCATCTTCCGAAAACGTCTGATACCCTACGTCTTCAAAGAGTATCTGAAATAAGACAACTCAGTCTTACCCCCCCCCCCCCCAAACTGTGCCCATTGCCACGCCCCCTGACACGCCCCCCCTGACACGCCCACCACCTACGGCCCTTTTTGATCCAGAAGAATCCCATGCATTGTTACAAATAATTTCAGAATTATACAGTCAATTTCTTAAAAGCGGTCACAAGAAGCCAAACTCAAATCCACATGAAATTAAACGTTTTTAAGAATCAATCAATCAATCAAATGTATTTATAAAGCCCTTTTTTACATCAGCAGATGTCACAAAGTGCTTATACAGATACCCAGTCTAAAACCCCAAAACAGCAAGCAATGCAGATGTAGAAGCATGGAGGCTAAGAAAAAAACTCCCTAGAAAGGCAGAAGAGGGTATTATTCATCAAATGTTTACCGTCATCTTTGGTCTGTGTATGTTTTTTCACTGCTCAACCCTTATGGTGGGGTCGCGACTCAAAAGACACCTCAATTGGTGGGTCACGAAGCAAAATATGTTAGGAACCACTACGCTAAATTACTAAAATGTTAACATCTAAAAGGTCAAACTGATCCTAGGTCAGGAAGCCCAGAACGTACCTTTGTGATCTGAGTGGTGGTGGTTGTACTGACTGTCTCTGAGGTGATGGTCTGGGCACTCAGCAGCACTCCAGAGTCCCTCTCTGCCACGCTGTCTATGGGCTGAAGGAGACACTATGTTAACTCAAAGGCGGAGAAAATGGGTTCATTTAGGACTGCATTGTCTACCGGCTGTGAGAAAGACAACAGGATCAAGTTCATTAAGCACCAAAAGGAAGAAAACACACTGAAACAGGGAGGGAATACCAGGACTTGTCCAGTAAGAAACGCTTGTTTTCATTTTCCGTTGCAAGATGTTTTAAAAACGTTTTTTCTGTTGGGTATCCTTATGAATACAACTCAGTTCACTGTTAACACAAACTCACTGGGTTAATAAATGGTTTTATTTAATAACTAATCATCCCCTCTCACCTGCACTGACTCATAGGTAATGGTCTTGGTCTCAGTGTGCACGACGGGGGCCTCCTTGTTAGAGACGTCTCCTCGCAGGGAGTTAGACACGTCTGAGATGGTGATTGTCTGTGTCTTCACCAACGTTACTAGTGACTATCCCTTTTGACTTGTCAATGTGACTCCCCTGTTATACTAGTGCTACCCCGTCAACTATGACCCTTATCAGTGTATCCCTTTCTTACGTGACTTCCCCCTACACCTTTCCAACCCCTGTCATACATCCCTTCACACGTGATACCCTTCATACATGTTAAATTCCCGTTATACTACGTGACTAATCCCCTTTCATACAGACTATCCTTTATTACCCTGTTCATACTATGACTATCCTGTTCTACTACATATCCTGTTCTATACTGATCCCCGTCATTGTACTATCCCGTTCATACTATGTGACATCCCCTTCAACTACCCCGTTCAACTACTGACTATCCCTTTATATATCCCCTTTCAACTACGTGATATCCCCTGTTCAACTTCCCTGTTATACTACTGACTTCCCCTGTTCATCTATGACTATCCCCTGTCATAACTCTATCCCGTTCTACTAGTGACTATCCCTTTATAATGACACCCTGTCATACTACCCCTGTTCATACTACGTGCATCCCCTTCATCTATCCCCGTCATCTACGTGACTTCCTGTTCATACTATCCCCTTTCTACTATACATCCCCTTCTACTACGTTTTTATCTATCCCCTGTTCATACATGTGCTATCCCTGTTCATACAGACGTGACTATCCCGTCATACTACGTACTATCCCCTGTTCATACTGTGACTATCCCCTGTCATACAGTGACTATCCCCTTTCATACACGTGATATCCCCTGTTCTACACGTACTATCCCTTTCATACTAGTGACATCCCTCTGTTCATACTACGTCTATCCCCGTATACTCTATCCCTGTTATCTAGTGACTATCCCCTGTTATACTAGTATATCCCCTTCATAAATCCCCTGTTCTCTAGTGACTTCCCCTTTATACTACTGACTATCCCTGTTCAACTATACTCCCCGTTCATATATGACTATCCCCTTTCATACTATGACTATCCCTGTCATACTACGTGACTATCCCTGTCAACTACTGACATCCCCTGTATACTACGTGACTATCCCCTGTTCATACGATGTGACTATCCCCTGTTCATCTAGTACTATCCCCGTTCATACTGACATCCCCTGTCATACTACGTGACATCCCGTTCTACACTGACTATCCCCTTTCATGACTATGTGCATATCCCCTGTTCATACTACGTGACTATCCCCTGTTCATACTAGACTATCCCTGTTCATACTACGTGACTATCCGCCTTTCATACTTATCCCCTGTTCATACTAGTGACTATCCCCTTTTTCATACTACGTGACTATCCCCGTTCAACTTTTTTACGTGACTATCCCCGTTCATACTCTACTATCCCCTGTTCTACTACTACTTCCCCTGTTCATACTACTATCCCCTGTTCATACTACGTGAATACCCCTGTTCATACTACTGACTATCCCCTGTTCATACTACTGACTATCCCCTGTTCAATACTGATTCCCTGTTTACATAATCTGTTACTAGTGACTATCCCCTGTTCATACTAGTGACTATCCCCTGTTCATACTACGTGACTATCCCCTGTTCATACTACGTGACTATCCCCTGTTCATACTACGTGACTATCCCCTGTTCATACTATACTATTGTTAGACTATCCCCTGTTCATACTACGTGACTATCCCCTGTTCATCTACGTGACTATCCCCTGTTCATACTACGTGACTATCCCCTGTTCATACACTGTACATCCCCTGTTCATACTACGTGACTATCCCCTGTTCATACTACGTGACTATCCCTGTTCATACTATGACTACCCCTGTTCATACTACTGACTATCCCCTGTTCATACTACGTGACTATCCCCTGTTCATACTATATCCCTGTTCATACTATGACTATCCCCTGTTCAATGACTACCCCTGTTCATACTATCCCCTGTTTCATTACTATCCTGTTAACTACGTGATTATCCCCTGTTCATACTATCCCCTGTTCATACTACGTGACTATCCCCTGTTCATACTACGTGACTATCCCCTGTTCATACTAACCCCTGTTCATACTACGTGACTATCCCCTGTTCATACTACGTGACTATCCCCTGTTTCATACTCCTATTCTACGTGACTATCCCCTGTTCATACTACGTGACTATCCCCTGTTCATACTATGCCCCTGTTCAACTACTGACTATCCCCTGTTCATACTACTGTGACTATCCCCTGTTCATACTACGTGACTATCCCCTGTTCATACTACGTACTATCCCTTTGTTCACTACCCTGTTCAACTAGTGACTATCCCCTGTTCATACTATGTGACATCCCTTTCAATCTCCCTGTTCATACTACGTGACTATACCCTGTTCATACTAATCCCTGTTCATACTACGTGACTATCCCCTGTTCATACCTATCCCCTGTTCATACTACGTGACTATCCCCTGTTCATACTAACCCCTGTTCATACTACGTGACTATCCCCTGTTCATACTATGTGACTATCCCCTGTTCATACTACGTGACTATCCCCTGTTCATACTATGTGACTATCCCCTGTTCATACTACGTGACTATCCCCTGTTCTACACTACCCCTGTTCACGTGACATCCCCTGTTCATACTATTGTACTATCCCCTGTTCATACTACGTGACTATCCCCTGTTCATACTAGTGACTATCCCCTGTTCATACTACGTGACTATCCCCTGTTCATACTAGTGACTATCCCCTGTTCATACTACGTGACTATCCCCTGTTCATACTACGTGACTATCCCCTGTTCATACTAGTGACTATCCCCTGTTCATACTACGTGACTATCCCCTGTTCATACTACGTGACTATCCCCTGTTCATACTAGTGACTATCCCCTGTTCATACTATACTGACTATCCCCTGTTCATACTACGTGACTATCCCCTGTTTCATACTCCATACTACGTGACTATCCCCTGTTCATACTATGTGACTATCCCCTGTTCATACTATGCATCCCTGTTCAACATAGTGACTATCCCCCTGTTCATACTATGTGACTATCCCCTGTTTCATACTACATGACTTCCCCTGTTCATACTACGTGACTATCCCCTGTTCATACTATGTGACTATCCCCTGTTCATACTACGTGACTATCCCCTGTTCATACTACCCCGTTATACTATCCCCTGTTCATACTAGTGACTATCCCTGTCATATATCCCCTGTTCATACTACTGACTATCCCCTGTTCATACTACGTGACTATCCCCTGTTCATACTATGTGACTACCCTGTTCAATATCCCCTGTTCATACTACTGACTATCCCCTGTTCATACACTGTGACTATCCCCTGTTCATACTATGTGACTATCCCCTGTTCATACTACGTGACTATCCCCTGTTCATACTATCCCCTGTTAACTAGTGACTATCCCCTGTTCAACAGTGATATCCCCGTTCATACTACCTGTTCTTACTCCCCTGTTCATACTACGTGACTATCCCCTGTTCATACTAGTGACTATCCCCTGTTCATACTACGTGACTATCCCCTGTTCATATACTACCTGTTCATCTATCCCCTGTTCATACTACGTGACTATCCCCTGTTCATACTAATGACTATCCCCTGTTCATACTACTGAACCCTGTTCATACTATTGACTATCCCCTGTTCATACTACATGACTATCCCCTGTTCATACTAGTGACTATCCCCTGTTCATACTACATGACTATCCCCTGTTCATACTACGTGACTATCCCTGTTCATCTCCCTGTTCATACTATGTGACTATCCCCTGTTCATACTACGTGACTATCCCCTGTTCATACTACGTGACTATCCCCTGTTCATACTATGTGACTATCCCCTGTTCATACTACTGACTATCCCTGTTCATACTAGTGACTATCCCCTGTTCATACTAACGTACTATCCCCTGTTCATACTATGTGACTATCCCTGTTCATACTACGTGACTATCCCCTGTTCATACTAGTTTGTGACTATCCCCTGTTCATACTAATGACTATCCCCTGTTCATACTACTGACTATCCCCTGTTCATACTACGTGACTATCCCCTGTTCATATACTACATTGTTCTTCACTATCCCCTGTTCATACTATCTGTTACTATCCCCTGTTCATACTATGTGACTATCCCCTGTTCATACTACGTGACTATCCCCTGTTCATACTACGTGACTATCCCCTGTTCATACTATGTGACTATCCCCTGTTCATACTACGTGACTATCCCCTGTTCATACTACGTGACTATCCCCTGTTCATACTACGTGACTATCCCCTGTTCATACTACGTGACTATCCCCTGTTCATACTTCCTGTTACTATTGACTATCCCCTGTTCATACTACGTGACTATCCCCTGTTTTCTATCCCCGTTCTACTATGACTATCCCCCTTCATACTATGTGAATCCCCTGTTCATACTACGTGACATCCCTGTTCATACTACGTGATATCCCCTGTTCATAGTAGTGACATCCCTGTTCATACTACGTGACTATCCCCTGTTTCATACTACGTGCTATCCCTTCATACTATCCCCTGTCATACTACATCTATCCCCTGTTCTACTACGTGACTATCCCCTGTTATACTAAGTGACTATCCCTGTTCTAATCTACCTGTTCATACTACCCCTTTTCATACTAGTGACTATCCCTGTTCATACTATGTGACTATCCCTGTTCATACTACGTGACTACCCTGTTCATACACGTGACTATCCCCTGTTCATACTATTGACTATCCCCTGTTCATACTACTGACTATCCCCTGTTCAACTACGTGACTATCCCCTGTCATCTTGTGACTATCCCCTGTTCATACTACATGACTATCCCCTGTTCATACTATGACTATCCCTGTTCTACTATTGCTATCCCCTGTTCATACTACATGACTACCCCTGTTCATACTATGTACTATCCCCTGTTCATACTAGGATATCCCTGTTCATACTACTGACTATCCCCGTTCATATAATGCTATCCCTGTTCATACTAGTGACTATCCCCTGTTCATACTACATGACTATCACCCTGTTCATACTATGTGACTATCCCTGTTCATACTAGTGACTATCCCTGTTCATACATGGACTATCCCCTGTTCATACTAGTGACTATCCCCTGTTATA